TGTGATCCAAATGACCCATGATAACGCTCATATGGGCTTCGAACGAGTTTATGATTTGCTACGGAGAAGAGTATTTTGGCCAACCATGAGAAAGGATGTAGCGGCGTATATCCGGAGATGCCCAAACTGCCAAAAATGTCACGAGATGGATGCGCCGAGACCACCAATGAAATCAGTTGAAGTCAACGAACCACTACAGTGCTGGGGATTGGACGTCTTTGGACCGTTACCGGTGAGTCGATGGGGAAATAGCTACGTTCTGGTTATGATCGACCACTTTACGCGATGGGTGGAAGCCGTACCAATGAAAGACCAGACAGGCGAGACCGTGGCGCATGCATTCGAATTCAACGTGCCGGCGAGGTATGGGATACCACAATATGTTATTACGGATCAGGGTCCATGCTTTGAATCGAAGGCATTTCAAACGTTATTAAACAAGTGGGGCATCGAGAGACGGCGTACATCACCCTACCATCCTCAAACCAATGGAATGGCGGAGCGATTCAACCGAACCATGAAGGAATGGATAACGTGCACAAAGTTGGCGTGGGAGGATGCATTACCTGAGGTTCTGCTGTCGTATCGGGCCAGCATGCAGTCAACCATCAAGGTTTCGCCATTTGAGCTACAGTTTGGCAGAGAGCCCCGAATTGCACTCGATACATGTATATCGGAGGTGTGTGAACAGCAACATCCAGCACCACATCACAAAAGATTGCAGGATATGGCCAGAAGAGGAACGAGATCACGGCAACAACGGAACAAGCTAAACTACGACGCCCGATATGCGACTCACAAGTGGAGACCATTCAACATCGGAGATCAAGTCAAGGTGCGCAAGCATGATCATCCAATACACAGAGGGCCCGGGGCAAGCAAGTTCAAAGAACGCTGGAAAGGTCCCTACACTGTAGTTGACCGAAAAGGAGTGAATGTCAAAGTTGACAATGGAATGATGAAGCGCTGGATGAATACAGACCTGGTGAGACCATGGCACACGAGAGAGCAACAACTTCGAGGAGGGGCGGGTGTAGAGGCGCGGAGGACTTCGACAACACGGAACAGCAGAAAACGACAAGAGCAAGAAAGAGTATCCGACAGAGGCACCGGAATCAGTCAGCATAACGCAGGCCCTACCGGACGAGTGGAAAAGGGACCGCGGGCGACGACGGGAAGAAAGTCTGCTCCCGGAAGATCTCAAACGATATTGGAGGAGAGGCCAAGAATTCAGACAAAGACGCCGATTGTTATGCCCCAAGGAATGACTCCAAGCCGAGTGACGCCTGGGAGATCAAGCAAGTCGAGAGCCTTCGAACAAATCCAGGCTGGTCGGAAAGCGACGTACAGGAGCGGAGATACGAAGCAAAACAGGCGAAGCTGAGTTGCCGAATTGTCGCCAATTGGCGGGCGAAGGTGCCCGTCGACCGCATCGCATTTCTGGTGCGTTGTGGTGTAGAAATGTGACTATATGTGTGTGGGCGTGAGCGCGTGTGGGACGGATCGTGACGTGCAATACAGATCGTGCTTTATTGCCCCGTCGTTCTTGCTACAGTATGATTACTTGTCTACGACCATCCTACAGACCTGTCCCCGATGGAATCTCTTCTGCTTTAATCAAACACGGTGGAGATGATATCCCTCATAGTAATAAATATCTTCTCTTTGTCTCTCCAGTCTGGTCAATACCCCGAACGTTGGAAAAACGGCTACGGTTATAACCGCGACATAAGTCCGGGTCGAAAACTGATCATCCGGGAACTACCGCCCCATTAGTCACACTAGCCATTCTCTCACGCATGCTAGAGAGAATTGTTAAGGAACATTTGGCTTTCGTTCCTAATTTCGCACAAAATTCTCTCACCTTCACAGCATGGATTCTGAAGTCTCGCTCGTGTGTTACCTGTCAAGTTGACTTCCTTAACCATCTAACTGAAGCAATTGACTCTGGTCTTCAGTGCATTGTATCTTCCTCGACATGCAAAAGGCTTTTCTGACAGGTCCACCCACACAAAAGCTGCTTATGTAAATTAAGTAAGTAAAGGTGTTACAAACCCGCTTTACTCTTGGAATCAAATCTACCTAGTAGGGTACGGTCGCAAGTTGCTGGATATCAAATGGTTACAATCTCTTCACCTCGTCGGATTACCAGTGGGTGGTAGACTGGGCAGTGTCTTAGGTACCGGAGTACTCATTCCTACTGTATATAAATGACCTCTGGTTTCTGTTATACAATATTGGGAAGCCTTATTTTTTTGCTGATGATTTCTAAGGTGGTTTTACACGTTCCCAAGGTTCTCAGCGTAATCAGCTGAAATTAACAATATCCAAAGCGACTTGAAAGCCATTGAGAGATGGGCTGATAATGTGCAGATGACATTTGACAACATCGAAGTAGACAAGTATTCTCTGGCGTATGATAGGCCAGAGGATAGCAGTAGAATTGTTCAGGCTTCATGACGATGTCATTCCTATCAGCCAGTCTGTCCGTGACTTAGGTTTGAGATATTCTAGTTCGTTAAACTTTAGCGAACATACAAATCATATCGTGAAAAAGGCTAAGCAGTCGGTCGGGCTCATATGCCACCTGCTAACCTTGAAAGAAACCAGACTAATTGCTTTCAAAATCAATATCTGGTCTTTGCTTGAATATTGCTGTGCTGTGTTCAGTAACTTGCGAAAGGCTGACTTGAGAGCCATTGAAAACGTCCAACACGCCTTTACGAAGCGCATATTTGGCGTTTCAACCGCTCTTTCATACCGAGATAGGTGCAAGCAGTTGAATCTTGAACCGCTGTGGTTACGAAGAATGCAATTAAATCTGTGCTTCCTCCACAAACTCGCTTGGCGGAAAGCATATGCTGGAAGCTATCAATTGCACTTTCGGGAAAACACCATTTATCCTACAGACCTGTCCCCGATGGAATCTCTTCTGCTTTAATCAAACACGGTGGAGATGATATCCCTCATAGTAATAAATATCTTCTCTTTGTCTCTCCAGTCTGGATCAATACCCCGAACGTTGGAAAACGGCTACGGTTATACCGCGACATAAGTCCAGGTCCAAAACTGACATCCGGAACTACCGTCCCATTAGTCACAAAGCCATTCTCTCACGCATGCTAGAGAGAATTGTTAAGGAACATTTGGTTTCGTTCCTAATATCGCATAAACTTCTCTCACCTTCACAGCATGGCTTTCTGTAGTCTCGCTTGTGTGTTACCTGTCAAGTTGACTTCCTTAACCATCTAACTGAAGCAATTGACTCAGGTCTTCACTGCACTGTTATCTTCCTCGACATGCAAAGGCATTTAACAGAGTCTCACACAAGAAGCTGTTAGGTAAATTAAGTAAGTAGGGTGTTACAAATCCGCTTAACTCTTGGATCCAATCTTACCTAGTAGGACGGTCGCAAGTTGTGGATATCAATGGCTACATCTCTTCACCTCGTCCAGGTACCAGTGGAGTGGTAGAGGGCAGTGTCTTAGGCCCGTTACTCTTCCTACTGTATATAAATGACCTGGTTTCTGTTATACAATTTGGGAAGCCTTATTTGTTTGCTGATGATTTAAAGGTGGTTTACACCTCCCAGGCTCTCAGCGTACCGCTGAAGTTAACAATATCCAAAGCGACTTGAAAGCCATTGAGAGATGGGCTGATATGTGGCAGATGACATTTGCAACATCGAAGTGTAGTATTCTATCGTATGGATGTCAGATAGCAGCAGAAGTGTTCAGGCTTCATGATGAAGTCATTCCCATCAGCCAGTCTGTTCGTGACTTAGGTTTAAGATATTCTAGTTCGTTAAACTTTAGCGAACATACAAATCAAATCGTGAAAAAGGCTAAGCAGTCGGTCGGGCTCATATGCCACCTGCTAACCTTGAAAGAAACCAGACTAATTGCTTTCAAAATCAATATCTGGCCTTTGCTTGAATATTGCTGTGCTGTGTTCAGTAACTTGCGATAGACTGACTTGAGAGCCATTGAAAACGTCCAACGCGCCTTTACGAAGCGCATATTTGGCTGTTCAACCGCTCTTTCATACCGAGATAGGTGCAAGCAGTTGAATCTTGAACCTCTGTGGTTACGAAGAATGCAATTAAATCTGTGCTTCCTCCACAAACTCGCGTGGCGGAAAGCATATACTGGAACCTATCAATTGCACTTTCGGGAAAACACCATTTATGAACTGCGAGATAATGAATGCATATTCTATTTACCTAAATTCAAGAGCAGTCTAAGGAGAAATTTCTATCTTCTTAGGTATGGCTCCATTTGGAATAAGCTGCCAAAAGAGATTAGATGTATTGAACATTTCTGCATGTTCAAGAAAATGATAAAGGCTTATCTGTCAACGGACAGAGCGAAATGGATCTTAAAAATTCAACTTGATGATGAAAAGCTGTATGAAGAGCTGTATGAAACCGGAGAACATCAACTCTACTGCACCAGAGAAAACTTGATCAGCTAGGATGAGCTGCTACAAACCGCTTCTTATGCTATTCCTTAACGCTACCTCCCATGCGGTTTTACTCCTTTAACTTAATTCATACCAACTGTCTTCTGTTTAAAACCGAGAGCAAAATTAGTTACTGGTGTGACGTCAGGAACTATTTTCGTAATTTTCCCCACAAATTGATTAATTCGTAATATTGTTCTGCGATCCCTTTCGCTACATTTGTTCTCCAGTGCTAATCATTTCCCCTTCTTTTCTGAAGTTAACAGTCCAGAAACATATACTTGAATTCAGTGATGGCAATAACTGATTCCCTATGCGACTTTTGCCTATGGACAACTCGTACAGTCATCTGTCTCCGGCTGTCACGCTACACAATTTATCGTATGATCGGCTCGATCGATTTCTACGCCGATGTACAAAACATACCTGCCTATTTTTTTACACTAACGATATAGTTTTCACATAATTCCTCTTTTCTATATTCTTCCTTATTTCATAGTTGGCCACGACTAGACTGATCTCCTGTGGTGACGGATTACAGCTTCCAGATTATAAAAGACGTTACCTATGCAAGGCAAATTGCCACCAACTGACTGGCGTATAAAAAGTGCCATAATAGAATGATCCGCATGACGGACTGGGCTGAGCCTTCATGGCCCATAATACATGTACAAAAGCAGCTCTAAAAAGAACAGAACATATGATAAACAGGTGATGGCTCATATGCTACTATGCCACACCGGCACACGGCCAGTTATTGCATGGAAGTGCGAGCGAAACCTTTCGAGGGAATACCTTGCATGGAAGCAGGTCCCCTGGGGATGGTTCCACGAGTGGCCGTATTACTTTAACTGGACATCTGTTTAAATCTGCTTACGTTATTGTTCCTGGTTTTTAATTTCTTTAATGCCTTAATCCTGCCAATTAGTTTAGTACCTGTTTTGGATCCATTGTAAAAAGCGTGAACAAATTGATTATTTTTTGCGATCCTGTTGTACACATTGATCAGACCACATAGTTGGACTGCACCTCGAATCACCGAGGAATACACCATTTATTTATTTAGTTATATTTTCCATTTCTGTTTTATAATGGAGGATACCACTAAAAATTGAATTAAATGACAAACGGCGCAGCTTCTAGGAAAAATGAAAACTGTTGTATTTTTCATTGATCGACTGAACAAGTGTGTGTGCCTGATTTCTTTGGAGAGTGTGGCTGTCTCCAAAGAAATCAATATAAAGAGGCACCACCAAACGAAGCAGGCTATTGTAGCAAGAACGAAGCGGCAAGAAAGTACAATTTTGATTTCACGCGACCACGGTTTTTCCACAAGCTGCGCGCACGTGCGCAGTTATCCATCATGTTTCCTTCCCAGAACACAATATACATAAGGACGTTAGTAACTCGTCAGTCGGAAAACTTTATGGCCCTGGCTGCTTGTCTGACCCCTTAACTTTGCTTCCGTTGCTAGCATTCTGACCACACTGGAATTATTTTAATGCTCCTGATTAGCTTGATCTCGGTTGCGTTATTCGGCTTAGGGTTACCCAAAGGTGCATCGACAAAGGTGTTTCTGTCTGATTTATTAGCCTATTGACACATCCATTTTTAGTACTCTTTGGATCAAGCGAGTTCTCCTTCGTTGATCGCGTTCCGCTCTCTGCTCGTATTGTTGGGTTGGCTTTGCACCGTCCGATCTCCTCTATGATGCTTGCGCCTTTTCCGTCCTCCCTCGTTCTAGTGGCTTTTCAGTCTCCTGCATGATCGCTGCATTCAGCGCCACCACACTAGGACATGTTGAATAAAATAAGAGTTGCGAAAGTTGAGCAACTAGAAGCTGGAATAACCTCACAGAAAAGCTTGTTTGCACGAATCGGTCAGTTGAAGGAATGAGCGACAAAGGCAAGTTATTTGTTGGTGAAACACAGCAAACTATTTATGGAAGATGAATTAATCATTGCATGTATGACAAAATCGTTGGAAATGTATGTCCTGAGGAAAAGCAAAAGTTTGCCAAACTTTGCGTGATACGCAGCACTGCGGTTTG